TGATGTGTCGAAGGTCTGTCGATAGATTCACTGAGCAAAACGTGTCCAATATCATCTGGGGTCTCGGGGTGATGGAAGTCCTACACCCTCCGGGGCTCATACTGCACCTTTCGACTCTAGCGGAGAGCCATCTCGACAACGACATTGCGGCAACACAGTCACAGGCGAACTCAGTCTGGGGCCTGGCCAAGCTCTTGCAAGCTGCTGAGGACCGAGGGGCACTCAGCGACATTGAGAGGCAACGTGTGAGGAGGGCTATTCAAAGGGTCGCTTCTCGGAGCGTCTCTAGGTGGTCCCAAGAGGGTCTACCTCCCCGACCAGAAGAGCTGGGTATGATAGTGTGGGGCTTGGCCGTAGCCCTCAGTGGTGTAGCAGAGGCCAGCAGAGGGGCATTAGGGCAGCTCTCCGCTGTCCTACGTTCCAATGCAGCGACACTGGTCGCAGGGGAGGATCCTCATCGTCTCGTGTCGAACATTCTATGGTCATTCGGTAGCTTGCGGTACTTTGACGATAACCTCATGGGCTTCCTTGAAACGGTCAGCCCAGTGCTGAACGACCCCGGCCAGTCCTCTGTTAGAAATGCATGTGCGAGTGTCTGGTCTCTGGCCGTCTTGGACCTCCCTCTACCCTCACAGCTCCTCAGGGCTGCTGTCAGTCTGTGTCTTAAAGGCCATCCTGAGCCCCCGGCCATAGTAGCACTCCTTGTTGGGATTGCGGCGACCAGCAGAAGGCTGAGCTTATCCACTGACGATATTGATAGACTTTTCCGAGTCGCCGAGAGGGTGATTGAAATTGAGGTTTTGTCCGCCTCCCTCGCTGCCCAGCTTTTCACAGTCCAGCTGTGGGGTTACTGTTGCCTCTCCCGACCGCTGTATTGGCCTGAACGCCTCCTACGGAAAACGGTGAAGTGTGGTGTCGAAGGCCTGCCATCGGATAACCGCATCGTCAGCGACATGCAGAGCTCAGTGAGGGAAGCGCTGCATAGGGCATGCCCGTCGTCGAGGCTCCTTGTGGAGCCTACTGCCAGACGGGCTGGTTGGAATGTCGATTTTGGTGTTGGTGGTAAATTAAATATTGATTGGACGATGTCAATCTGATGTTTCTGGAAGTGTAGTATGAGTTATGTTTTCGGTGGGGTCCTCGGGATGAAGAGAAATGTCGTTTTGGACGAAATTCCTCGGCGTGACGAGGCGTAGCTAAGCCGTGTTGTCGTGGTAGGGGTTGGAGGTGAGACCGACACACAGGTGATGATGATGGAAATGAATAGAGTCTGTGAATTCAATAGTAACCGAGTGAGAGACTCTCTCAGAGAGAGTGAACATGACTGCTGTTTTATTCCAGCTTCCAGCTCGACTAGTTCAACCAAACAGGAACACTCTTCGGGAAAGTCGTAATTCGGATGTGATATATCCTAATACCATCCATGGGCGTAATCGTTGACAGGAAACCCGACCCAACATCCTGCAGACAATTGAAGTTCCAACGAGAACGACTTCATACTTCCATAACATCTATAATGAGGCCACCTTGATCGTTTCTCCGACCTTCTAGTATAGCGATCGCCGTCCGCCTGCGGCAGAAATCCTCACCCGTCCTAACCTGAGATGTTCACGTCCATTACGACTACGGAATCTCATTTCTACCCTCGACGAGCAATAGGAGTTCCACACCCAAATCCTTCCCTACAATTCAACACATATTTTCCCATCATTTTACGAGACACCAACCCATGACACACTTCCCCCCACACAGTCACCATCGTCTCCTCCTCCTTCCCACACACCCGATCTGATCCAGTCGAGTTTCATCGTCAATGCTTGACCCCCTTTCTGATCGCGTTCTTCTCTCCTTATTGTAAACGATGTCTCATCCCCGGCGCTACGTTTCTGATTCTATCCCATTCAACATCGAGGAGTGGTATGAGGACGAGCAGTATGAGCCGGGCTTTTGCTTTTTTGGTTCTTCTTTGTTCTAGTCTGCAAGTTTTGTATCTTTCAACTCTATCATCGTCTCGAGCAGTTTCAGTCGTTTCTGGGAACCGCCTTAGGTTCGCTTTTCGATTCCCCTCAATATCAACACAAAAACTTGAGGAAAAATCAAATTAGAAAAAACATTCATCCCATATTCAGCACGCATAAACACCAGAAAACTCTCATGCATTTGCGCTAGTATATTTCGTCACAGACTTCGTGCCTTCGCTCACGGCATGCTTTGCCAGCTCTCCTGGGAGGACCAAACGAATAGCGGTCTGAATCTGACATGACACTCCCACAACAAGCTCACAAGAAAAAGGATTTACTTCTCTGCTCGAGAGCGTCCCTTTAGTTGAATATTTACACAACTTCGCCGCCTCCGAAACAATCTGAGGAGAAGCGACATCAAAAATCACCAAAATGCACAAATCCAACCTTTTCAAACGTATCATTCACAAATGAATTCATAATCATCATCGACTTCTTAGAAATGCCCATATTAGGATGAACCTGATGAAAACTCCTCACAAACACACAAACAGCATTTCCTTACTTGTTTCAGCACTCGAAAAATATATGTATTATACGTCTCAGCATTGCGTTTCCTTCTCCTCTCTGAAACCGAAGTCCAAAATCATCAACATAAAATCCTCAAATACCCACCTCCAGGCTTGCGTCCTCTCCTATTCGGCGACACCGAATTCTGCGATTCTGACATCCCCGCTGCAGATGCCGGTGGTGGAGGAGTGAGCGGCGCGGGCACAGGAACAGCTTTCTTCTTCGGAGCCATCAAAACAACCAAGCTGAGTATAGGAGTTACCCAATAACGACAGTTGAGGGAAAAAAGAAACGGAAAACTGCATTGGAAAAAGCGCGCGCCCGATTGATCGATTACACAACAAACAAATCTGCTGAAATGGCTACAGAAAGTGAGAATAAATAATAAAGCTACGCATCGTGGAAGTCTTCTTTACTCGGCACTCCACTCACGCTGCTCACACTGTGTTGTCTTCTACTATGAATTCGGTCTGGGAGATACCCTCGAGGCTTCACAACGGATGACTTGTCCGACATTATAGCCGATACTGTATCCTGAGAAAGGGCGATCTCAATTCGGATAGATAATCTGTATCGT